TCAATTCTATTATCAACTATATCTCTGGTATTCATTCAAATTATTTACATTTGATGTTAAGAGATAACCATATCTATAAATGATAACCATAGCACATAAGGATTTTACTATGTATAGTTATGCTTTTAGGACCCAGAACAGAGCTCTAATTCATCTGAATCTAAGATGTAATGGGTTAAGTTAAAACATTAATGCATTGTATTAGGTTAAACACTAAAAACTGCTACTAAAACGATGTCTCAGGGAAAGCCTCTTCAATCCTCCTCCGGGATACTGGGCAGCAGACAAAGTGTTCGATTTAATTAGCTGTGTATGTAGAAAGAGATGCTCATCTGTTTCCATGGAGGCAAACACATCACTGACATACTTCTCCATGGAAACAGAGAAGGGAAAATAGAAAATGCTAAAGTGAATGAATTCACTGAACAGTTGGTGAGCAAAGATTCAAGAAAAACATAAAACATAATCTGTAGTACTATGTTACTAGTTTAGAAAAAAGAAACATGTGTTACATAAAAGAATGTATACGATACATTTAGCTTATATACTTAAGATGAAACAGTTACTATTTTAATAGGAATATACAAATGTTGAGAAATAAGACAGAGTAAAGGTATTACTGTTTTGCACAGAAGACATAATGGCAGAATTCTTAAAGATGAGCAGTGTTACAGCTCAAAGTCAGCAACGAGACAAGATGATAGAAAACATAGGGAACCGATTTATAAATAAATTTATCAGCTTTATACTGGTTTCACATCATCATTTTGCTTATCTTATTTGTTTTAAGGATTTTTCTTGGGGGCTATAAGATTATAGAAATATTTCAAGTTTTATTTTATGGTATATTAGTTAATTTGTATTACTGAGCCTGTATAAGTATTTTTAATTTATAAAATACTACATGCTCTGTTTCCTTTCAAAATTATACTTTTCATTAAAACAATAAACAATCCCATTTTATAAGATATTTTCTCTTAGGTATTCTGACTTAAATTTTTTTCCATTGAAATTTAGTCCTAACCTGCCTCTCTATTCAATTCAATTCAACTCAATGCACATTTAAAATGTGGTCCTCAAGATGATTATAGACTTCTTAAAAGGTTAAGATATAATATCTATTCATTTCTTTAACTAATATTTCTATTGTGCCTACCGAGTGCCAAGTACTGTGCCAAATTTTGTGCATGTAGTGGTAAATTAAACAGACACTGTTTATTCATGGAGGCTACTAGCTTATAGAGGAGAAACATAGTTATTCATATAAATATACAGTTACAATCTGAGACAGGTCTATGAAAGAAAATTACAGAGTTCCAAGAGAGAACACAATGAACAAACTCACTGAGTTTGGGTGTTCACAGCAGGCCTCTTAGAAGAAGCGACTTGAATGCTGGGATCTGAAAGATGACTAAGAGTTAGTCAGAGGATGGAAGACCAGAATTTCAGGCAAAAGTCCTGAGATGGAAAAGGGCTTGGTAGGATTGAGAAACTAAAATAAAACAAGTTTTTCTAGTGTAAGGGTGGTGAAAGGTGAGGTTGGAGAGGGGAGAAGGTATAGGCACACTTTTCAATTTTATTCCAAATACAATGGGAAGCAATGAAAGAGTTTCTGAGCAATAAACAACAAAATTACATACACAATTTTCCGCACAAATGAACATGGAACAATTAGCAAAAATATGTTCAGAAAAGCAGAATGAACCTGATAGTATTTAAAATCTATATTTAGGTGGTAAAACTACAATGTAATTATTACCATGAAAGTCAAGATAACAATTATTCTAAGGGGAGGGAAGGATGTATTCAGGGCTTCTGGGGACCAATGTTCTGTTTCTTGAGTGGTTACATGGATGTTTGCTCTATATTCATTTGTTAAACTGCATATTAAAGTCTTATGTATTGCTCTCTCTATATATTTCAAAATAAGAAAATATGTTGTTTTCCTTTAATACAAGAGCGGTAAAGCAGTAGGGACAATGGGTACAGACAGTTCAAGAAGCTTGGTTTGGTGAGGGAGTGATAATTGCCTCCATACACATTCTCTCATTTTTATTTTCACGAATTAAGCACCCTGAGTTTTAGCTGGGCATGACACCATCCAAGGAGAGACTTTTTTTTAGCCTCTTCTGTCCTAGGTGTGGCTCTGTGTCTAAGTGTAGTCTACCTCCTGCATGACAAAGTGCTTTCCTGCTGGCTGGGCTATGACTACAATCTACCTGCCTCTGACCCAGAGGTGGAAGCCACATGTTGAGAATGGCAGAGCCAAGCCCTAACAGCATCCCTGTAATTATGTGAAACAGAAATGTCTATTCACCTTAGATTGCCCAATTACCTTTGTATTATTATGAGAATGAAATATACTTGTATCTTATTTAAGTCACTTTTATTTTTTAAAATAATTCTTTATTGTTGAAAGTATTACATATATCCCCTTTCCCCCCCTTCATCCCCCTCTAACCCGCCTTGTCCCCCTGCTCGCCCCCCCCCCCCAGGCCTTCAGCACCCTATTGTCTGTGTCCATGGGTTATGCATATATGCATACAGGGTCTTTGGTTGATTACCTCCCACTCACCCACCCACCCTCCCCCACCTTCCCTCTGAGATTCTGCACTCTGTTCCATGCTTTGAGTCTCTGGATCCACTCCATTCACCAGTTTATTTTGTTACTTAGATTCCACGTATGAGTGCGATCATGTGATACTTGTCTTTCTCTGACTGTTTAAGTCACTTTTATAGCAGCTTAGTCTGTGCACTGATACAGTTATGAAGGAAAGTTGAGAGATATGGTAATACCTAGGGGGGGGATGAAAGAACAGGGAAGGAATTCTAAATAATGGAGACAACAGACAGGTTTAAATGTTGATGGGAAGAATTATAATAGAAGAAAAGGTTAAAGATATAGTAATGAGATTTTTTAAAAAATGGAGCAGGTACCTGAGAAGATAGGAAGAGATAGAATACAGAGCCATGTGTGAAAGAAGTGACCTTTGACACAAAGGGATATTTGCTCTGTTTTAGAAGAAAGAGAGATGATGGGTGCAGAGGTAGGTCATTTGTAAATATCTTGCTGAAAGATGAGAGAGTTCCTATTTAAAGTCTTCATTTTCTGTAGGAAACATAAAGCATTAGGTGAGCATGGAGGGAGAGAGAACTGGCAGTCAGAGGTTTGGTAGAGGGAGAAGATATGAAACCCTGATGATGGAGAAATGTGGTATCATGAGCACAAAGTGTTGCGTGACCATTTGAAGAGAGTAATCATGAATTTAGGGTACTATCAGTCTCCCAGAAAGGTGGAATTGTTCAGGGGTTGGCAGATGTAGATGGATTAGGTCCATCCAGAGCTGGGATGACAGCAGCTAGGGGCAATAGCGGTGAGGAGGAAAGATGATTTTTCCAAGAAAAGGATTTTAACAATAGGCTATGGAATCAGGGTTGAATATGGAGGAACATAAAGACAGGAGGAGACTAATAGTTGAAACTGAAAAAAAAAATAGAATGTGGAAGTCTCAATGACATTGAAAAACTATTGCTCTTATTAGTAAGTGAGCTGGAAGTAAGAGAGTTTTAGTTGAATGGCGGATGTTGAAATGAATGATTCAGATGTAGTAAAGATGTCAAGTTCCTGGGAGTAACTGTGAATACAAGAAGATGAGGGGAAGCTAAGTTATCAGGTGATAACATCCCTAACAGAGAAGAGAAATCTCAGCAGTGTGTGGTAAAATAATTTTGTCTTTAAAGATAAGTAGGAGATTATTTAGTAGAGAAAAGGGTACGATGAGGAGAAGGTAGAAAAGAGGAGAGGGAACAGAGGTACCGGGAAATATGATAAAATTCATGGCATACTGGGGAACAGAAAGCCTAGTCAGAAGTTAGGGTGCCTGGGTAGAAGTTCCTGGAGAAACTGGAAAGGTAGGATGAAAATAAATTCTGAAAGAATGGGTATGAAAGTCCAAGTAGTGTGGATTTTATTTTTAAAGCCCAAGTTGTCAATCATGATGTCACAGACACTGATGTGTAAAATGATTACAAGAAATATACATTTTTATTTTCTTTAGGGCTAATGACTTGTGAACAGGTGAATTTGTGGGTTTTATGACTTTGAAAAATTCTTTCCCATTTTGTCCTTGAATACTGTCCCTCTTCTGTTCACTTTGTTCTCTTCTAGAACTTCTACTAGTATATTGGACCTATCTCTATATATATGCTAGGCAGGACACTGAATCAGTGTCAACCAATCAATGATAGGAAGACCAATAAATCAATTTTAAATCATCATAATCCTATATAATAAAAGCCTAATATGTTAAGTATCCTGTCGTCCAGCCATCCGTTCAACCAATCAGATATGCTAATGATATGCTAAGGCCACTCAACCACTCGCTATGATGTGCACTGACCACCTGGGGGCAGATACTCTGACTGGTAGGTTAGCTTGCTGGTGGGGTCCAGCCAATGGGTACTAAGCCAGGACATGCCCTGGAGCCCTCCCGCAGTCCCTCCCCAGCTGCCAACCTCCTGCATCCCTCCCTGGGCCCCATTGTGCACCGGTGGGGTCCCTCAGCCTGGCCTGCACCCTCTCGCAATCTGGCCTGAGGGACCCCCTCCCCCCCGCCAAGTGCACGAATTTCATACACTGGGCCGCTAGTTTAAAATATTTGTAAATGTTAGTACTTCTGAAATATATTAAATATAAAGATCATTGTTTACTATCTCATTCTAGATCTCTGCTATTACAAAGATGAATTACCTTAGCATACATATCCAGATTCAAAGCCAAATACACAGATATTTCTCAAGTACTTTTCACCTAATTCTAATCCATATTTTTAGGTTTCAGGACTTAATTTGTTTATTGTTCAAGTCCTGGAACAAAATGTAAATAATAATGTATTTCCATTAAAATGTGTAAGTACAGTGCAAATTAAAACTAAGATTAACAAACTTCCTTAGTACAAAGAGTTATTTTTAAAGTTTCTGTATTTACAGGGACTGCTTACCTATGATGAGCCTGTGAAGAGCACCCTTATCTCCGTTAATAGCAGCAGCATGAACTTGGGATGCTAATGAGGAGCCAGTAAAGAACAAGTTCTCTGATCTGTTCATAGTCTTCTCAGCAACTGAAGAAACCTGAAACAATTATTTAAGCCATGAGCATATGCAGGAAACATTTCTAAAAGCTGTCTCATTAGTTGGAAATAGATATATTATAAATATGGTTTACTAGAATCTGTGACTAGGATTCAAAAAATCTGCAGCCCTGGTCCTAGAATTGCCTTAATGTGGCAAATTGGGTGACCCTTTGTGCAAGTTGCTCATCTTTATTATGAAGGGATTAGATGCTCCTAAAACCCTTCTCAAGGGCTACCCCAGGGGGAAAAAAATGGGGGGAGACTCAATATTTAACATTAGGCACAGTGCCCCCAAACCACATTGATTTTAAGTTAATACAAGTAATGTAACTTCACATAATATTAAACATTAGAATTGATATTGGGAATAAAGGTAATGACCAAGCCACAAAATAAGTATAATGTGAACTTAATTGTTAGGTCAGAATTAGCCAGATTTGAGTGCTAAATTAAAACCTAGTTCTTTTTTCATGCAGATAAAAGACAGAATTTTTTTTAAGGCAGAATTTTAAATTTTTATTTGTTGTTTCCTTGTTGCCCACCAGGGAAATACACCTAGCTTGAGACCCTGGCCTCAGGATCTTACTTGGAACACCACATCATTATAATTAACCATGTTTCATTAAGGAAATTTTTTTTTCTGATTAGTAGTCTGATATGGTTGCTAGAACTACCTAGAAATGCACTATATGCTTAGGAAAATAGTGAGTTCTCTAACATGATCGTATAAGCAGAGGCTGGATTATGTCAGAAATGCATCAAGAATTCAAGCACCTGCCGAAACCGGTTTGGCTCAGTGGATAGAGCGTCGGCTTGCGGACTGAAAGGTCCCAGGTTCGATTCCGGTCAAGGGCATGTACCTGGGTTGCGGGCACATCCCCAGTAGGAGATGTGCAGGAGGCAGCTGATCGATGTTTCTCTCTCATCGATGTTTCTAACTCTCTATCTCTCTCCCTTCCTCTCTGTAAAAAATCAATAAAATATATTAAAAAAAAAAAAAAGAATTCAAGCACCTGTTGGGAAAGGAAGAGGGGCAGTGGCATCAATGAGCTTAAACTTTCTCCCAAAACATAAGACATTCCATCGAAGCTGAATGCCTAAATGGAGGTTAAGAACTGTAAGAAACACAGGGAGTCATGGGGTTCAGGCACAGGGGAGCACACAGACAGCTATTTAAAGAGAGCAGCTGTTAATGAGCTCGTTAGTAGCTTCCGAAAGGGTAGGCAAGGCCCTCTTTTGACTTTACCAAGGAGCATCACGCCAATCCTTGTGACTCCCGAGAATTTGAGAGTTTTGTAAGATAAATGATCACTACTGATGAGCTAGGACTTGTGTTGTCACTGACAGGGATTTTTGGTTCAAATGCTGCCTCAGAATGAAGGTGTTTTCTTAATCTGGGTAAAGGTCAGCTCTTCATGTCTTTATTTTCATGGGTGTGGTGAGACACTTGTCATGTCTGAGCATGTCTGTCATGTCAGAAAAGCCACTCTCACATGCAGGCTATATTTAAGTGACTTGAAAGAAGCTACAAAACAGGGGTGGGGGTAGAAACACAGTAGAGGAATAATTGCACTAGGGCTGGAGGCTCTATTCCATTAATAATAAGCAGCGTGCCCTTTGGCTACCTCAGCTCTCAGACTTCCTATAAAATGTGAAAATGGAAAAGGTAGACCACGTTGATTCATTCAACAAGTACTATGGATAAAAAAAAAAAAAAAAAAAGCCACATGCTAACCTGACTAGTTCAGAGAAGACCTGCATGGCAGCGGTGCAAACTCAAAGGCCTAAAGTAACCACAGAGGATGGTCTGATATTAAATATTTAACTGAAAGCAGTTTATAGTGGGTAGTCATGGCCTAGGCCAGTATTTTCCCTGACAAAGATCAATTTCGATCTTTACTGAGCCTATTGTCTTTGTGCACGTAAGATAACATACCTGTGAAATGTCTGGGTAACTTGTAACTTCCCTTTTTTTCCAGACCCCTCAGGGCACAACAAATGGCACCAGGGCTGGAAACCACAAATTCCCTCATTGTTATTGTTAATTGTCAACTGTTAACTATGTTAACTATCCTGTGTCCATCTATGTAAAAGAAGCATATGTCCATCATTTCACTTTTTATCCAATCTCAGAGGTTTCCCTACCCGCCCCTCTCAACCCCATTTGCTTTCTCCCATCTCCCTAATCTATCACCAATGGATTTCAAGTAACCCACTTACTTCTTCCCCTTTGATGGTAATTTATAAAAACAAGGTAAGAAAACAAAAAATAAAAAAAACCAGCCATCCTCTGGAGCATTATCCCAATCTGTTGAGATTTTGCTTCCCGGCAATTGACGTCAGTTTGGCTCAAATAAACTCACAAAAATTCTTTACAGGTTTAAATGTTTTTACGTTAACAGTACCAACTATGTGCTGGGTATTGTTCTGAACTCTCATACATGTCATTTTAGATTCTAAGTGTTCAGAGTTTTACCAGACAGGAAACTTAACTAAAGTCTTGGTTTTGCCACTATCTAATTTTGTCACCCTGGGAAAGTGATGTTCTAGGTTTGTTTTTTTTTTGCTTATTTGTCTTTTTGGCTCAAATTATTAGAGCTACTGGTTTTTTGTTTTTTTTCTGTAATCATATTTATAGATGAAAATCAAGACCACTTTAATTATAAAATGCAAAGGTATCGTCATCACTACTAATTGTAAAACAAGCCAGTGCGATAAATGGTCTAATAATTTATAACTGTACAAAACTAGTGGAGCTGTAGTCACAAGCAAGGAAGAGTAATTCTGATTAGGACTAAAGGGCTGGTTGGTTGCGTGGGAAGGTCTCAGAGGCTGTGACATTTTAGATGAGATTCCAGACAGAACAGAGGTGAAGGCCATTCCAGGCGGCAGGAAAGCTGGAGCAAAGGCAAGGCATAGGGAGGACCACAAAAAAGAAGACTGCATCCAGGTACTTAGTCGTGATTGCTCGGCTACCATGTGGGGCAGGTGACCCGGCTGGGTGTTTGTAGCTGAGACCAGAGAGCGGAGGCCACGTGAAGATCCTCAACTGGCTAATGAGCTCCGTCAACTGTCTTGTGGGGAGTGACCACGCGTTAGCAGCGCTCTCACGCTTGAGCTTCTGTTTACAACGTGCTTTCCCATCCCATCCCGTATCTACTCCTCATTCGCGCCCGAAGAGACAGTGAGGGATGCGTCGTTTACTTATTCAACCGAGGCCCCCAGAAGTGGCTCCGACTCAGCAGGCATGAGCGCGGAAAGCAGAGGCAGCAGGCGGGGAGGCCAAGGATGGAGGCTCAGGCCACACAGGTCAGGCCAGGAGGACCATGAGTCTCAGGCAGGGGCCACGGCGGTGCGATTGGAGCTTCCCCAACCAGGCACCCTACTACTCACCCGCGCCTCCGCCAGGACTCGCGTCCCGGGGGCGGCTCCAGGAGGCACGACCCCCACTGGGCCGCCCCACCCGCCAGGAGCCAAGACCGTACCTACATCCGGCCGGGGCAGATCCCCCACTGCGCTAAATCTAACGGGGTCCCACTGAAGGCCGCTGTCTCTGGACCGCACACCCTTCTGGGAATTGTAGTCCCCATCCCTCCGAAAACACCGGGTACTCTCGCTCTCCGCCCTTTCTATCCCACAGGGCCTCGCGCGCACAGAACCCAGTAGACCTGGGCTGAGAGCCTGACGGGAAAGGAGTTCTGGATGCGCGATGACGTGCTCAGCGGAAGTGGTCAAGGACTACGTTTCCCGACGTGCTCCGAGGTGGGCGGGACCCGGAAGTGAGGGTTGAGAGGCCTCTCTGGAAGTTGTCCCGGGTGTGCGCCGCGGGAGCTCCGGGTCGAGAGGACGGGGTGTCGCTGCCGGGAGATTCCTCCGCTGCCGCCGGCCCCGGGAGCCCTCCCTTTCCTAACCCAACCCCACCTTACCCAGTCCCAGCGGCCAACGCCTGTCCCTGCAGCGGATCTCAGCGTTACCATGAATCCTGCCGTCTTCCTAGCCTTCCCCGACTTGAGATGCTCCCTGCTGCTCCTGGTAAGTGAGGGGAGGAATGACAGACCCTTCGCCAGACGCGCGGACGGCGGGAGGCCGTCGCCGAGGGGGACACCTCGGCCCCTACCCCTGCTTTCCTATCTTTTTCTTCGGTGGCGAGGAGTACACCCTCCGCCGCCGCCTTCACTCTCGGCATTCGTCTGTCCACTTTCCAGGCCCGGGGTCCCCGAGGCCTGAGAAACCGCGGCCGGCGCTTGGGACCCATAAACGGGAGAGTGAGCCCTGGGGAAAGGCTACGAGGGCGGGTCACAGCCGGGCTCGCTCCTCCTGTGCCCAGAGTACGGAGGTTGTCTCGGGCGCGAGGGCTCCTGGACCGGGCGGTCGCCCGAATCGCCAGGGACGGGGGGTAGACCGATGCTGTTCCCTCGCATCACCTCCTTTCGGAAGGGGTGAGGCCCGCAGTTGCCGGGGTCGTGCGAATCTCGCCCCGGAGCCCTGAGCCGGTGCCCGGGTTGGCAGGGCTCTCTGTTGTGGCTTGATATGATTGGCTGGGAACCCGGAACCGGAGGCTGGCTTGGTCTCCAGTGGGGAATAAAGGTTGGAGGCTGGAATTACTTGCAGCCCGGGGCCCGAGACCTCCCTCAGCTTTTGTTACAGCCCCTCTCCCAAATGTAAGCCGAGTTGTTGTTTGGTGTTCCTGATTTGCGGGCGATCACATTTTTTTTTGCACCCATATGCACTCATTCCTGAACTTCTCCTCCTGCTCAGCTCCATCCCATCCTATAAAGGAATCCTTCCTCAGCCCCCTTTCCCCCAGAGTTCATCGTGAGTGTGCAACCCAAGTAAGCCATCCATGCTGCAGGTCAAATTGAGACAAAAGTGAAGGGCTAACTCCATATGGAAAAAAAAATGACATACCTTTAATTGTGCTGTTATATAACATTGGGAAACAACTTTAATTGCAAAATTTTTTAAAAATACAATTTTATTTCAGAGAAGAAGGGGGGGGGGGGGAGAGAGAAAGAAACATCAATGATGAGAAAGAATTATTGATCAGCTGCCTCTTGCATCGAGCCTGCAACCCGGGCCCTGACCCGAATTGAACTGCAACCTCCTGGTTCATAGGTCGACGCTCAAGCACTAAGCCACGCCGGCTGGGCAATTGTGGATTTTTTAAACACCAAATTTAAGATGGACATTAAGTCAAAATCACTTTCTTTACAATTTAAAAAACATGATTAAGTCACTCAGAGGAAATCATATAGCTGGTTACCAGGAGAACTGAGACTTCAATCAGGTCTCTTGACTTACAGTGCTTATTTCACCATAGTACATTGCATTTTTAATATTTGTGTTTAAAATAGTTTCCCTTCCTCCCTGTACCCTTCTTCTCACTTACCTCTGTGATTTACAAGTCATACATGAAAACCATATACAGTATTAACTTGAACCTTTTCAGTGGAAAAGCACTATAAAGAAAACTAAAGGGGCTGGCTGTCAATAGTTTTGAGAACTAAAAACTGTATCTGTATATAAATGTGTTAGTATTAAATGATTAAATGATAAAGTGTCTTATTGCCACTGTACCACAATGAGTGACTTCTGTATATGGGAAAATATTCTGTATAAAGTTGATTTTTGGTCATTTCATTTTACACTGTGGTTCTCTTTTCCTTCTCATTGTTATTAGAGGCCAGTCTCTTTTTAAGGACACTAGATAATATTATTTTTTATATCCATCTAGTGGCCTGAAATATGAGTTGTCTGCCAGAAATCACTTTTCAATTACAAAAAAAAAAAAAAAAAAAGCAAAGGGAAAAAAAATCTTAAAATAGTGGAAAGAAAAGTTGACACTAAATAGAAAGTTATATCAGATGTACTTGAAATGGTATGTTTGATTGGAGAGCTAAGTTTAAGAAGAAGCAAGAATTTGTTTTGAAATAATTTATGCTTTTTATAGGAAACCTACAAATCCAGTTAAAGATAAAAGAAGGAATTTTTTTTTCTGGTAATTCTAAAATCTAGTTAACATTTTGCATATTTACCTAAGTAAATGTAGAGAAATAGAAACTTAGAAATCATTTTAGAAAATACCTGTAAGATTAATGGGCTGGAAAATAAAGCCCAAGAAAAAGTTTAACAAACAAGAATTACAAGACATGCTAGATCCAATTTAAACACAGTGTTTACCAAAGTAGTTTTAGCAATTTATACCAGTTAGCAAATATTTGTAAAATATCTGTCTAGTCGTAATAAGCTATTTATCTAACTGGAAATTATGTCTCAGTGATGGAATTTGCTTACTCAGTACCTGTTTGAAAATATGTCCTTTATCTTTCCCAATGTATTTTATTCCTCCTCCCTCACTTCTGTCAAATTTGTTTATTCCCTCCCATGTACAACCGCTGAGTATTCAAGTTTCCACCTAGCTGAGGTCATCATTTTTTCCTTAAGTAGCCTGTTCTAAAAAGCCACATATCCTCTTACTACAATAATTTTTTTCAGGCAAACTATACCTCAGCCCTAAAGGACTAGATCTATCCAAACTTAGTGGTGTTCATAAAATAACAACTGAAACATAATCCTAAACTTTTGTAGGCAAGTGGTTTCCCCTGATCTCAAAGGCATTTTGGAACATCACTCTGTGCCTAAAGAGCTCATTGTGGCCCTAGCTGGTTTGGCTCAATGGATAGAACGTTTCAGCCTGCGACTGAAGAGTCCCAGGTTCGATTCCGGCCAAGGGCAAATGCCTGGGTTTCGGGCTTGATCCTCAGGAGGGGGTGTGCAGGAGGCAGCCGATCAATGATTCCCTCTCATAATTGATGTTTCTATCTCTCTCTCCCTCTTTCTTCCTCTCTAAAATCAATAATATATATATATATATATATCATAAATACAAAATTATAAAAAATGTACAAAAGAGACACATACAATGATATTTACTGCAAATCTTCAAATATATCCTCAGATAATTTTTCTAGAATTATATTTCTTGGATCCTATGGTATGTCAGTTATTTAGGATGTCTGATACATTGTACCAAATTGCTCTACTGAAAAGTCTACCAATGTGTATTCCTACCAATGGTGTATGTGTATTCTTCCCCACACTAAACAATCAGTGGGTGTTTTGTCATATATGCCAATTTAGTAGTCCAAAAACGGTATCTGACTTAAAATTTACATTTATTTGATTACTACCAAAGTTGAATATTTTTTCATATTTATTAACCATTTATATTTCTCTATGTGTATGTAATGTAAGTGTTCACATTATTTGTCCCCTTTTAAAAAAAATGTTTACTTTTTACTTCCTCAAGTTATTCAGAATAGAATAGTAAATCAGATAAGATACGATTTGAGGACAATAGAAAGTGTTATTACTTTGTTCATTTAGTGTCTGCTCAAGAGGTAGCATAGTGCAAAAAATCCTGGACTAGATGTTAGGGCATCTATACACAAGTTCCAAGTCTTCCATATACTTAATACTGTAACTAACCTAGAATAAATCACCTATCTAACTTTTTTGTAAGCACATTGAATTTAATGATTCCGTGGTTCTTTGTGCAGTCTATCTTGTATTTCAAAAAGGAAATTTCTCTAACTCCCCTAATTAATAGAGTTAATATTTAACTGGGTATTTCCTCCAAAAAAAAAAAGTCTGCTAGCTTTTCAACATGTTGCAGGTCTGTGCCCCCTCACTCTGTTATTCAGGGTAAAGAATAGCATGCTTTGGTCACAGCTCTCCTGATATTGGCAATTGCTGTGCTCCCTTTCATCTAACCAAGTAAGTGATTAAAAATAGTTGGACTTTTCACAGCCTTTATTGATCTTTAGTCTACCTTTCATTCCATAGAGAGGCGCTTTCTGTGACCTAGGCTGCAGAGACTTTTTTTCATTGGTATTTTTACTTTCCTCCTGTTATTTGAATGCCTGTTTGCTATTTTCTATGAAGGAGAAAAATATATTTGATATTCATATCATGCTTCCAAGAAATTTATAATTTGGTGGGGGTAGAGAAGATGTGTATGTCAATAATTAGAATTCCAAAAGGGAAGTGATAGCTGCCCTAGTGTACTTGTAGAAGTGGGTTACAGATCTTGCTACATAGAAGTGTGGTTGTGAACCTAGGCATCTGCATCACCTGGGAGCTGCTTCAGCATCCTCACACCAGGCCTACTGAGTCAGAATCTGCAGTTTAACAACATACCCAGCTGACCATATATACCCATTATAGAGGACAGCTGTAGATGTTTGAAAGAGGCATTACTTACCTGTCAGTGGGAGAATAGGAGAAGTCTTGAAAAAAGACGAGAGTAGGGCCTTGAAAGGTTAATTTTCAGTCCTGAATGGAATGAATAAAAAAAGTTTAATAACTTAATAAATCTTTAACATGAGTACCTGTTTTGTTTTGCTTTTTTAAGAAGTCTGCCGTCTGGCTTGCTGACATGGCCAGATGTCAGAATTGGCCCTAAAGAGTCTTGCAAACCCTTTGGTGAATTTCCATGAGAACAGGTTATTATTTTCTTAGCCAAAATAAAGATCGTGGTCTTTTAATAGATTCTCACAGCATTCCAATTACTCCTTTCAAGAGAGGAGGGAAAAATGCCACTTTGCAGAAGGGTCTTGTGTAATACTGTAGATCTCAGGTCTTGGTTCTGTCTTTGAGGAGATTACAATCAAGTTCTAACTGCTTTTATTCTATTGGTGATGTTCTTAAGTGCTCTGTGATTTTTCCAGCCCTGTGATTTTCTCATTAAGTAGAACCTTGAGCATTATATTTTAATGTGTCTAACTTTTAGTCAGCTGAATTTGTAGACATGAACATTGTTAATATAATAGTTAAAAGCAATGAAAATAAGGAAGAAATCATCTCAGGAAAACATTCTAGTAGTATATGAGCTAAGGAAAACCGTTGGGAGAATAGCCAAGTGCCAGTTCTTTTTCCTTGGGATTATCAGAATCTATTCATGGGACTTTTGATAATTGGATTTAAGAACTTTTTTAGAAAAAGGTCTTTAGGAATCAGAAGAATTTTTGATCCTGGTAAAAGTAATTGAGGCCCTTTTTATTTTTGTGGGACTCTCTCATCAGTGTCTTGCTCAGTTCAGTAGTTGGGAAGGGATATAAAAACCATGCAGTTATAATGACTGAAGTTAGAATTGTCTAGAGTTGTGCTGTAAATTCAAATTTATTAAAATTAAATAAAATATAAAGTTCCATTCCTCAGTTACAGTAACCATATTTCAGGTGCTCAATAGTCATGTAGCTAGTGGCTGCTGTATATATCAATACAGATTATGGAACATTTTTATCATTGCAGAAAGTGCTGTTGGATAGGGAGAACTTCACTTTCCTCTATCTCAGAAAGAAAGACAAGTTTAGGTTAAACCAGGGGTGGGCAAACTTTTTGACTCAAGGGCCACAATGGGTTCTTAAACTGGACCGGAGGGCCGGAACAAA